ACTTATCATAAACCCTGGTGATATGCGGACCTTTGAGTCCACACACGTAAGTTTGTCAGCAATCAGTGAATGAAATATGCTGACATAACACCCCCTAGGGGTAATTTATTGTTTACAAATTATAACTCATTTCAGCCCGTTGAGGAATGGCTTCGACAGCTTCTCAAGACCTCATCTGCAGGGGCGGCTGTGCAGGCGATGAGCTGTCTTTCTAAGTTAAGTTTCCCTATATTTAAAATTAAGCTTAACTGGTAATCCCATTTCTCAACATCACTCTTCTCTATATACAAGTTACATTGTGGGTAATAAAATGCGTCAGCCTAAGCTAGGAAACTTCAGTAGGGCGATGAAGTTATGGTCAAGCATTCCACTGTGGGTTGAATAACTATGAGAGCATCCAAGCTGATGAAGAAAGAAAGCATTTGTTTTTAATGTTATTTTCAATATTATTGTAATGTATAGTGGTGTCAAGCCTTTTTGTTATTGTTACTAAAGAAGAAGAAGAAGAAGAAGAAGAATTAACATTTATAACATCATTAATATCAACATCCACTGAGGGAAGGTAAAACAAATTCATTTTTGAAACCACCAAAGAGTCTATTAACTCTATACAGAACAAGCGAGGTAGGTCACCGCTCTCACTCGAGGATGAATCATCTGACTCCAATACTGGATAACTGGAGCATCTCACAGCCATCGGATTTAGGCATAAAACTGCACTGTGAATATAGAGGTCATCCTCTTTCTTCCTCATAAAACTGCATTCAGTGTCTCCGGAATTCTTTAACCTTGATACACGTTAATTCTAAAATCTGACGCCAGTGGGGATTTTTGATTAGATGTATCATATCATCCTCGTTCTGTGAATATGCTTATACAGTGTGTAATCTTTATCATGTATACTATACATAATAAAGGTTACACACTGCAATTCCATTTTCAGTGGATGGAGGGTTGGGGCAGCATCACAAGCACTGGTAAGTCAGAGGTTGATTATTACTGATACACAACACTGGTACAGCAGTGGTTGATTAATGCTGATACACAAAACTGGTACACCCGTGGTTGATTAATACCCCAGCGAGTCATCATGTTACTACACCCTCGTCACGAGACATTATCCCTGACGAAGTAAACATTGGCGCCCCGAGTCTCACATCTGTCATGTCAGGTGATGCTGGCTGTGATCATCCTGCATGTGAGAGGCATTACTCACTCTATCTCACACCTCTCTCTCTCTCTCTCTCTCTCTCTCTCTCTCTCTCTCTCTCTCTCTCACACACACACACACACACACACACACACACACTTCATATAATCTGCCTGACCTGTTTTTTTTAGCGATTATCTTGATCGGTCACTAAGGAACTATTTCTTTTTTCGGCCGGAATGAAAGATTTATTCCACGGCGATGAGTAAGAAAATGAGGTTTCTCAAGGATTAAAACCATTTTTTCCCCACAGTGGTTAGATAACGGAGGTTCGAGCCTCTACCACTCGTTGCGCTGAATGACCTACAAACTGTAGCTTATCCCTTCATGAAAATATTTCTTTTTAAGTTTGATCTTAATATAAAGTGCATTAAGAAGTGCACAACAAGATCACAGTAAACAGGTGATATTACAATATGCAAAATAACCACAGTGAAGAATAAGTGGAATTCCAAGCGCTTTCGTTATTTCTCACATCATCAAGAAATAATGTGAGAAAATCACAAAAGCGCTTGGAATTTCTCTATGTGAGTAACTTGAGTAACGCTGAGTAACTTGTGTCTTTTAAGACACACACAGTTTCTAGGGAGACTAGGTGGAATTTCCAAGATATTCAACAATCGAAGAAGCCAAGGAATTTAACAATATGGAAAACAGGAAAAGGCAAAACTGGAAGGATAGCATGGAATAATGACCAGGCGCCACGTGAGTTACCGAGCTTGTTTTGGAAAGAGATTTTGCCCGGATGGGCGAGGCTAAAGAGCAATTCCACTCATGCTGGGTGTAAACATGCAGCCATAAAAACATGTATCAGCTCTTATAGTTAACAAGCTCATGGAGGTATTGACTCCATCTTTTGCTGTTTCGTTATAAAGGTGTCACTTCCTTATCTAATTGTAGCAAATTTTGGATATTTCTGTAAAATATTATGTCCTTAGTTATATATTTAAACTGTTCAGGATATACAAAACACGAGCCGCGACGGGAGGCCTAACTGGAATTGTGTCGTAACGAGGCAGTCATCTGCTGACTGTCTAAGCCAGCACAAACAATGCTAAAATCGTTAATATATACAAAAGATCAAATCCCATTTGAGAAAATTGATGGTTATTAGGAGCAAGTCAGTTTAATATGTTTATTATGCACCCCATCCCCATCCTGTGGGCGGTAGGCAAGAGATTACAGAGGTACATAATGGGTCCAGGGACTGGACCCCAAAATTTGGATAGCAGAGTAAGTTACAAAGGTAATGAACTCCAGGTAGATCTGCAAGTACTAACTATACATGCTCATGAAACAAATTCAGCTTGGATTAAACAAGCTTCTTTGTATAAAATACGATCCCTCAATTACCTTATTAAGTTATGGGTCTTTAACGTAACTCATCCCTCCTCCTTCAGTCTCTCCCAGTTTTTGAAAAGAAAAAAACACATCAATCTTCCACTGTAGAGATAAAAATCCTTCAGGTCAAATTCGATTTAAGATATGTAATAGGAAGTCCAGTACTGACGTGTGTACGTGTTGAACTTTGATACCATTAACATCAGGCCAAGCTGCTGTAAGTTGGAATTTTGACAATGGTAACAAGTGTCGGAAAGAGAATAGGGAAGCTCAGATGATGTATGTTAGCAGAACAAAGTGAAATTAAGATGGAGGAGGAAGACGTGAAATTGCGATAGCAAGGACGATTAAGACGAAATAATCTGGCATAATCAAGATAAATAGTGCCGGGTGAGGTCAGTACAGGGAATGAGGAAATGTGTCAGAGAGAAGAGGGAGGAGAGAGAGAGAGAGAGAGAGAGAGAGAGAGAGAGAGAGAGAGAGAGAGAGAGAGAGAGAGAGAGAGAGAGAGAGAGAGAGAGAGAGCAGTAGGAGGAAGAGGAGAGTTAGGAGACGATAGAAGAAAAGCATGTGAATATGATAAAAATCCAATGGAGTGTCGTGGAGGCACGTTCCACACTGCCCTTCATAAGCGATTAAGAACAGTATCGATTTCGTGTGAGAATGATCCCATCAAGAGGTCGTGTGGTGACCTTACACACCTACCTGCCAGCCAGCCTGCTTGTCTGTCTGACATCTCCCTCATACAGGGTGCCAGTGTGGAAGCCCCTCACTTACACACATGTATGTACAGTAGTGTGCACATTAATTGAGACAGGAGTAAATTTTGTGATTATCTCATAATATGTCTTAGTCTCCGGCTTAATATAGTTTGGGTTCTTTTTTTCAGAAGAGTTTGATACCGACTTACGGCAACCATCCAGCTGCGACTCTTATCAGTGCTACAATAACTATTGTTCTGTAAGGCTATTCCTGCAAGAGTCCTCAGTGAGTGAATGTGGATTCGCCAAATTCTCCCCTTCAGTTCATGATTAATGCTGAAATTCATGATGGATGTTACACCTAAGAAGCGTGCAGTATTGTAGCTCTTAGAAAACATACTGATTTGAATATCACATCGCTGAAAATCTGAATCTGACAAAGTAAACTGTTGGTCGGATTCTGAAGAGAGCTAATGACATTGGTGACTGTGGAGCGCTGCGTCGAGGAATGTGGAAGAAAACGCAAGGTTGACAAGGTTATCATAAGAAATAGTGTGAAGGTTCCCAAGAAGACCAGAAAAGATCTACAGAGAGATTTGGCTTCAGTTGGCATAAATGTTGATTCTTCAACTGTTCGACGAAGGCTCCTTGAAGTTGGCAGAATTGCCAGAAAGCCAGTATAGAAACAATTGTTGACTGCTGCTATGAAGGAAAAAAAAAGGCTTAGGTAGGCATTTGATCATAAGGAATGGACGACAGATGAATGGAGAAGTTATATTTTCAGTTGATGCACATTTTGAAATATATGGGTACAGATCAGTGGTAGTGAGACGGAGCAAAGGCAAACCTCTTAGGAATGGACACATTCAACAAGCGCCAAAACACCCACATAAGATGTTTTGAATTTTACTACTAAAGGCTCTGGACGGCTTGTTCTTGCTGATGGAGCGATGAACAGTGATAAATACAAGGCAATCCTGGCAACTCATTTGCTTCCCAATGTGGAAAGATTTTCGTGATGGGGAAGGCATTTTCCAGCAGCATCTTGCTCCATGAGACACTTCCAGAAAAATGCTGACATTCTTCGAAGAGAGTGGGCTAAGTGTTGTAAATTGGCCTGCAAACTTCTGACCTCAACCCAACTGAGAATCCATGCACAATAACCAAACGCAGGGTCGCAAAACAGGACTGTTCAATTTTGGAGAAGCTAATCGCTGTTGTTATTAGGACATGGTATCGCGACGAAAAACTTGTCAAAATGTATCCAGCACTGGTCGACTGTATGCCAAAACGTGTAGCAATGCTTATAAAAGCAAATGGTAGTCATATCTCGTATTAAATCAATTAAAAGTCATATCTTTGCCGTGTATTTTTTTAATAAATATTAATTTTCAAAATAAATGTCTTATTTCATCTGTCCCAGTTAATATGCACATTACTGTACAGTGAAAGTTTATTTTAATACCTATTTCAGGGACTGAAGTATTCTTGACTGTGTCCCGTGGCGTGGTGGCAGAATCTCGCTTCACACTGTGAGGGGTCCGGATTCGATTCCCGGCGAAAGGGTGGAAACATTGGACCAGAGGCGTCGCTAGAGTTGGTGTCACCTGGGGCGGAATCTCTGGTGACACCCCGATGAAATCCAAGGGCGGGGGGATGGGGGATAAAGTCCAGTTACGTCACTACTGCATGACCAGTGACTAATATTTAACAATAAGAACGTTTAAGGACCATAAACTGAACAGTAGAATACTTCTCAACTTTATTAATGATAAAATAAATAATCATAGTAATATTGAGGAAACATAAACTCAAATATCACTGAGTATAGCAACAGATCCTACATTTATTCATCTTCAACAATGCCAAAACTAAAGCAAAAAAACTTGAAAAATAAAGAAAAACATTGCAATATCAGAGAAACACTAGTTCCGATTTGACCTTGAGTACAGGTAACATCTCAGTGAATCTGATTGTACATTTGACCTTGAGTACAGGTAACATCTCAGTGAATCTGATCGTACATTTGACCTTGAGTACAGGTAACATCTTAGTGAATCTGATCTTAGATTTGACCTTGAGTACAGGTAACATCTCAGTGAATCTGATCTTACATTTGACCTTGAGTACAGGTAACATCTCAGTGAATCTGATCGTACATTTGACCTTGAGTACAGGTAACATCTCGGTGAATCTGATCGTACATTTTATTTAACCTTGAGTACAGGTAACATCACCGTAAATCTGATCTTACATTTCCTTGGCTTCAGTTATGCAAAATCATCTATCACATCATCAAACTCAATGATTTTCCCTATATAGGCCTATTTGTACTTTGTTAATATATAGTAGGCTATATAGAAACGAAGGATTCTTCTCTTATGTTGGTGCAGCACTGTTTTGGGCATTAGTGTCACCTTCTTTAGAGGCTCTATGGTGTCACCCCATAACTGATGTCACCCAGGGCGGCCCGCCCCCCCTTACGACGCCCCTGCATTGGACGTGTATCTTTACACCGGTTGTCTATGTTCACCCATCAGTCAAATGGGTACCTGGGTGTTAGTCGACTGGTGTGGGTCGCATCCTGGGACAAAACTGACCTTTTTTGCCCGAAATTCTCAGCATAACAAGAGGCTTTCTATATAGTAGTATGTCATTGATGTCAGCTAGGACTGTATACCTTGTACATGTACTTGTAGTAAATAAAGATTTTAATTTAATTTAATTTAATTTAATTTAATGGTCGAATATTATTTTGTAATAGGCGAATATTACTGTGTAACAGTCATTAACAAAAAAAAAAGTCCCAATTACAGTGGTAAATTTGGAATTTCCTAATTACAGTGGTAAATTTGAAAATTCTTCAAAGACCTGAAAATGATGTGAAATATCTATTTTTTTTTTTAAATTAGAAGTAAATTATCAACCTTTGTTATAACAGTATCCCCTACCGACTATTTTCTGTTTATTCCTCGTGGCCATGACCATTTTTATTAATCTCTTTTTTTGAGATTGTATCAGTTACCGTACCGTATACAACAACTATACGGAAAAGTGAAAAAAAAATAAATGCGCATAAGTGGTAATGAGATATTTGAATACTCTTATTTTGGGAAGGTTTGAGACCCTTTAGTACAGACACTTTAAGTGGTATACTGGTCAAATATATTCCTAAACTGCGAATGAACAACTGTGCTTCCAGAAGTGATTGGCTAAGTGTGTGGAAAATTTTTGATTTTCCGAAGCTATAGCGCCTAATAGGTGTTTAATGTGTCGATATGAGTCAAAAATGTATTTGACAATAGGATAGAACCAAGAGTTCCCTTTGCGCATGCGCGGATGTGCGGGGGGAGAGGTCGACTCGGGCCATGGGGGAGGCGGGAGTGTTTTGAATGTGGTGAGGAGGCTGGGAAAGCATGGAACCAGGAAATTGGCATTCACGGCGGCCTAAGGATTAATATAGGCCTCATTTCATAATAGGAAGTGTCGTAACTGTTCCTGGTGAAGAGTGAGGGAACGTGATTTACGGGACCATTGTAAAAAGGTGGTAAAATTGGTGAATAATGGTTCGACCGGGTGTGACTGGTGCACGGCCATGGTGTGTGTCCAGGGGAAATACCCGTGTGTTAATCCTCGCTCATCGGCCTCAGATCTTAATGGAGTGACCTCTAATGTGTATAATAATTATGAGACGTTAAATCGTCTTGTGAATGGTAATGTAATCAGTGATAATAACATTGAGTTAAGAGAATGCGGGATGTGAAATAGATCGCCCTGCTCCGAGTGAACGCATGATCCTCGTACCGAGGATAGTGAAGCTTTATGGAATCGCGACTTCTAAACCGGGACAAACCGACGGATATCTCGTCCTGCTGGAATAAGAACCGTGTCGGTGTAGCAGGACATCGAAATGAGATGGTGAATGGAGGAAATAAGGAGTATCAATCACCCACAGTTAAGTAACCCTTCTAGTTATAGCAGACTGATACTGGCCAGTTAGGTATGTTGTAATTGGATAGGTTATGAGTGATCCAGCTACATCAAGTGACCACCAGCGAATATCTGGTAAGTGGTGAGATTATGTACAAGTGTTTTTCTTGATGGATATATCCATGTGTAACCTACCCCACCCCCCTTCATTCAGTTAAACTAATATAATCTATACAGTCCACAATTAATTAGTAGCACCGTACTTGTGGGTGCTACCCAATCCATACTGGTCTCGGATAGATGTGGATAAGATTGTGAGGTCGAAGGAACCACTTGCCGTGACCAGGGGTGGTTAAGTTTTCTCACATGTCTACACGGGGTGACTACGGTAAACAATATGGTTGTCTCCCAATGAGTTTACTTGTATGTATATAATGTTGAGGTACATACAGGTAATCACCCCTAGAAAATTTTCCATAAAGTGTGCGTTTTAACACATAACGAAACTTGAAGGAGTTCAGCATTAATATTTTCTTTTTCAAAATTGTTATGTATACTTCTTCCATTTTTCTCAGTCTGGTGAGTGTAAATTGGGTGTTCGAGCGATCTATTGTGATGGATGTGGTGACAGCTGGTATAGATGGATGTGCTGATAGCTGGTATGGTGGATGTAGTGACAGATTGTGTGTTGACTGTAATAACAGCTGTTGTAGGTGGATGCGTTGACAGCTGGTGTGACGAATGTGGTGACAGCTGGTGTGATGGATGTGTTTACAGCTGGTGTGATGAATGTGGTGACAGCTGGTGTGATGGATGGTTCAAGCTAACTGAAGAACTCTGGTTCGAGACTTGGATGAGGCTATCTGCGTGAACGTGTCTCCATATTCCTGCTAACCATATTTTTCTAGCAGTAAATATGTACCTATAGCAGATTCAGCCTTATAATAATAATAATAATAATAATAATAATAATAATAATAATAATAATAATAATGCAGACCATTTCGAGCAAATTAGGACAGTTTTGTCGCCAGGATGCGACCCACATATATGATCATAATACATAAGCAGGGGAACGAGATGCAGCCAATTACCACCCAGTATTATTAACATGTATACTGTCTAAAGTGAGAAAATAAGGTAATAAAGAAGCTTATGGAACAAACTAACATTGACGGTAAGATCTGCCTCATGAACTTACAGGAGATCTATAGTAGAATAATGAAGCTGAAGAAAGGTAGTATATACGGCTCGGTAAATTGCATAGTCTTGGACTACAATAAAGCGGTTCCTGAGAAATTAATAATAATGTGATCTTTCAAAGGACATCAAATGATGCTCGTAGACATTACTTGTGACATATTTCTTAAGGGTCTTCTAGCAATGGGTGGATTTTAATACTATAAAAAACAGGAACTACTCCCTTCAGAGGAGTCCTTTTCTGCCAGTGAAGAGCTCTTGATCTAAGGAATTTGAACTACCCTTCTCCTTCGTCGAATCAACCTTATTTACCCCCAACTTTCCCATTTCATGAACTTCAGGCAGTGAAAAGATCAAATCAAGTTACAGAACAAGCTTTAACTGAAACATTTCGCTGTGTGTAGAGTTCCATCAAGTCGTGCAGGTCATGACTTAATAAAACTCTATATAGAGCGTCTTTGTCTTTTGAAGTCGTTTCACCCTATTGTTGGTAGATTCCCTGAGGCTCCCTAGGCACGATGAAGGTCTTCTGAAGAGTACTCTCGTAGTAACACGCCTGTTTGGCCTCCCCCTTGAACTTCTCAGTGCAAGAAAACAGTATCTGGTGCATCTTGTTACAGACTCTCTCGAGGACCTGTGTAATGTTGTCGCCGCGGTGTTGTTCCAGTAGACGACACACTGTGTCCACGTACACTGAGCCTAATAAAGACACACAGACAGTACCTTAAATTGAGAGATTTTGATGAACGTATGAAAGGTCAGATATATGTTACTGACATATGTACAAAGGATAATGAATGACTCACAAAGTTAGTATGACTACCAACTTATAAAAGATCGATTTTCGTGTGGCTATTATCATCTTAGGAACTACCAAATAATGATTTCCTGTTTAGTTTTAACTGGGGTGTAAAACCTAGCTCTGGTAGTCAACGGATGCTTCAACTGTTACGGTTGCTATTATTATTATTATTATTATTATTATTATTATTATTATTATTATTATTACTAGTAGTAGTAGTAGTAGTAGTAGTAGTAGTAGTAGCAGTAGTAGTAGCAGTAGAAGTAGTAGCAGTAGTAGTAGCAGCAGTAGTAGGAGAAGGAGGTAGTAGAAATATTAGCACTAGTAATATTAGCAGTAATAGTAATCATGACCAATGAACGAGATTCCAATTATTATTATTATAATAAAAAAGAAGAGCTAAACCACAAGGGCCATACAGCGCTGCAGGGCAGGGAAGGAGGCGAGAGTATCGAGTGGCAAAAGAGAGAGGGATGATTAGTAGGTTATGGAGAACATCAGGGCAGTGGATAGTGCAGGGGTAGAGGGTAGCAAGAGATTAAGGTAGAAAGGGCTGAGGGGAGTGCTAAAGGCATTATCATCAGAGTTTGTGGAATAAATCAGTTGTTGTCAAAAAATCAGTGAGAGGCCGGATTAAAGGAGGGTCCGTCAGCAAGAAGGGAAGGTAAAGAGAGGGCAGCAGAGCGGAGACGATGTTGGAGGTAAATTCTGCGAGTTCGTTGATGGAGTGGGCTATCTAACAGAATGTGGCTAACAGACACTGGAACCTGACAATTCTCACAGAGAGGAACAGGGCGCCTCTCCATGAGATACCCGTGAGTAAGACGAGTGTGGCCAATGCGAAGATGGGAGAGAGTAGTCTCCCAACCTCGACACTGATGACAAGAAGACGCCCAGTAACCTAGACTCGGTTTAATAGAATGAAGTTCGTTATTGAGCAGATCAGACCAACGTTGTTGCCAACGGGTGTGAAGGTGAGTAGCAATTACAGTAAAACAGTCTGTGAATGGAACACCTCTATATGAAACTGGAAGGTCATGTACTGCTGACCACGCAGCAGTGTCTGCCTGTTCATTGCCCTGTACATCATCATGACCAGGGATCCAACAAAAAACAACATCTTTATGCTTGGTAGAGATGTGGCATAACCAAAGTTGGATACGGAAAACTATGGGATGAGGCGCATCAAATTTTCGTATAGCCTGTAAAGCACTAAGGGAGTCTGAAATAACCACAAAAAGTGACACAGGCATAGATGCAATATGGATAAGAGCTATAAGAATGGCATACAATTCAGCAGTAAAAGTGCTAGCCAAGGATAGTAAATGCCCACACACGACACTGTCCAGAAACACTGCTGCAATTCCGACGCTGTCAGAAGACTTAGAGGCATCTGTGTATTCAGCGATGGCATGAGAATGAGAGTGGAAGTGGTCAAGAAAAAGAGAGCTGGAAGCTACTGTAGGTAGTTGGGCTTTTGCGCAAGAAAGTGAGAAAGAACAGACTCGAACAGCTGGAACTTCCCAGGGGGGCAGGGAAAAGTGAGATGCTACATGAACATAGAAAGGTGGTAACTGAAGGGAAGACAAGAGCGAATGGGGGCTAAGAAAAAAGAGACAGAGTAAACAGGGGCTATGAACAAATAATGTCTACTAACATCAGTGAATATTCTATAAATGGAAGGGATGCAGAGATCATGAGAGCGAACATGATGGTGAAGGCAATGGGCATCACTGTGATCAGACAAGGATGGAATATTCGCTTCACGAGAAGAGAGAAAAGCACCAAGGCATAAACGTAATCCCTGGTGATGGATGGGATTAAGGCTAGAGTAGCAGGAGATTTGTACCACTTATTCAAGTGGATATGGGCTGCAGTGTAATGCAGCGAGGTATGAACAAATAGCTGATGGTACGGAATATCTGATGGGATCATTAAAGATCCCATCAGAAAAAGGATCCGAAGAATACAATAAGTTATAGCCTGAGATGGGATGCAAAACAGCAGAGTGTAATTTTGGTTCTTGTAAGCAAACACCAACAGGGGAAAACCGGGAGAGCAACATTTGAAGCTCACCCCGATTGCCCCTGAGGCCACGGATATTCCACTGTAAATAGGCCATGATGATCAACGAGAAAGATACCAGGAATTCGCAGGTAAGGGTACTTATGGACTAGAGGGGTTAGAAAAGTCCACATGTGGTGGCAGTGGAAAACGTTCAAGCAGCGAAGGAATGGAGTGCTGTGAAGAAAGGAGTTGTGCAGATGAAGGAGATGGAAGAGAAGGGACAAGAGGTGGATCAGTGTCCATTGATGGTTTAGTCTCTTCAATATGTTCTGAGAGAGCTTCAAGCATTTTGGAAGTCAAAGACGTTGTATTGGAGATAATGTTGGAGATAGGAGGAGGAGGTTGAGTAAAGATTGGGACAGCAATGGACTGTACCAAAGTAGGGGAGGACAAAAGGGTGGAGGGCACTGGAGAAGAAGTGTGGGAAGAGACAGAAGAGGAAGAAACTTGGGAGGGGGCAGAAGAGGAAGAAACTTGGGAGGGGACAGGGGAGGAAGGCACTGTTCGAGGAGGAGGGTGAACCTCCACACTCGTAACAGAGCTGGCGAGAGGTGAAGAACCAGACAGAGAGACTGGAAAGGTAAACTGTAGAGGGAGAAGAAGGGAAGGAGGGGTTAAATGAGATTTGAGCAGTGGGGATATTTTGGACTTCTGAGAAGCAGAGGGGCGATTGGGAGGAGGTGTTGTACGAGGTCTTGTCGATACCGGGGTTTGTGAGGGAGAACATGAAGAAGTGAGAACAGACTGAAGTGTTGAGGTAGGGACATCTGAGCCTAGGATAGCAAAAGAATTAGATACTGGAGTGACTATGAAAGGGGTAATCACAGAGGAGGCTGCAGAAGATGGGACCCCAGAGGTGGGGGGACGTTTAGAAACACGAAAATAAGAAATACGGGGGAGTCTCCCTTGGAGGCATAGATGAGAAACTGCCATAGCATAAGGGAAACCATCTTTCTCTTTGAGGCAACAGATTTCTCGCTCATTTAAGTAGACTTGGCAATGGCAAGAGTAAGAAGGGTGAGCTTCCTAACAATTAAGGCAAGAGGGAGGTCGACTACAACACGTATTAGAATGGTCGTCAGGACCACAGAATGGGCATTCAGCTATAGATCTACAATATTTCGCTGGGTGACCAAATCGCCAGCAATTTCTACACTGTTGCAGTATAGGGATCACCTTTCGAACTTGTAACCGATGACCTGCTACATAAACAGAGGCTGGGAGTTCGTGGCAGTCGAAAGTTAATCGAGCTACATTGCAAGGGTATCGTCTCTGCCCATGGGCAGGAAGGACATAAGTGTCTACTTTGAGGATTAGATCCTGGAGTTCCAGCTGTTCGAGAATGTTATTGCCACGTTGTGAAATTCTGTTGGACAATGGTATGGGGCAGAATGACAGTGCCACTACAAGAATTGAGGGAATGATGTTCTTTGATAGTGATAGGAATAGTATCGATATGTGAAAGAAGAGAAAGGTCAGGAGCTTGGTTAGCATTCTGGACAGTAATGATGTGTGTACCGCTCTTGAGAGAGTGGAAGGATATATCTCTACCAACATGGCATAGGAGCACCTTGTTAATACTATGGTCAGAAAGATAGGCAGTAGAGGAAGTGGGTTGTAAAGAATTTAATCCATTTTGCAGTTCGAAACTGATCATGGAAAGGGAGTGCGTGATGAGTGGGTTGGTCATTTCTGAGGGTGAGAAGGAAGTGAAGAAGTAGCATCAGGTAATTGTCATGAGCACTGAGGAGTGGGATCGGAGTCGGTCTGATGTGGGATGGGCCGGCGATTCGAAAATTGCCACACCATAGAGGGAAAGGCCGAAAGCATAGTCAAAGGAAAGCGGAGGTCAGACAAATCGAAGGAGTCATGAGGAGGATGAGGAGAATGGGATAGGGAAGGGGGGAATGGAGGGTAATTAGGTTCGGTCTGAGGAGACCAACAGGTCTAATTCCTCAGACCAAGAGCCTCTTCACGCCAAGGAGCCCCCCTTGAAGAGGACAAGATCCCCAAACACTTGCCTTTATCAGGTAACCTGAAGGAGTATTGCTCGGGTAGAGTTGAGCTAGCAACCAGGCGGTCCATCTTGTAGTAGACGGCTGTGATGTTGTGGTAGTTCTTTACGATTTCTGTCACGTTCTCTGTCTCTAGGCCCCCGTCCACCGCCACTAGGATCCCACCTTTTTTCCAAAGAGGAAAGTACCATTAAGAAGTGAGCAAGATGTTGGGAAAAGAGGAAAGATATGAGGTAATAAGAAGTGATAAAGCAATGAGGTATAACTTCCTAGGCAGGGTGCTTCTGACAGTTAATTGTGAACTTCAGCCTTCTCCACATGACTGCTCATTGACAGTCCAAGTGGAGTTGACTAATGGGACGCGAAAAAGCGTTTATTAACAAGTACTTCACTTGATGAAATTAGAGACAGACTTCCAGTTAGAGCTGAGGTGCCACAAGGATCAATATTTAACTAAGACAATATTTACAATCTTGTAAATAAAAAAATGAACCAGCGGCAGACGCCGCTGGTTCAGTATGTATCAACAATAGTTAATACCATTCAAAGCAACTTACCAATCTTATATCATCCATAATTAACTCCTTTTATACTAATCCACGTATCAGTGTATAGACAGTCTTCACTAACTTAACTATATCACCCATCCTTACCTACATTTTACAAAGAATCTTTCAGGCTGTGGCACCAGTGATGAGCCCTGAATAAGTTAAGTACATAAAGAAACCAGAGAAAATACAGCAACTGTCACCAGACAATCCAGTGTTGTAAGTCATACAAAAGATAAAGTCTCACAATAGAAGGCTGAAAATTAAAAGATGTTACTGTAACATACAAAATAATCACTATAAGTGACATGGTGTACATAATCCCTCCATTTGACAGTATATACTGTACTCTAAAAGCTAGTAGTTGTATAAAAAAATTATGTGTTATGTGCAAGAAAATTTTTTTTTAAATATATTTCTCGTAAAATGAATAAAAATGTCTTACTAAATACTTATTTAGCAATTTTAAATTGCTATAAATAGAGTTCATACTTAAAAAGCACATTTTACCATAAAATGAACTTAGATTTTTTCCAAATATAAAGCATTCCGATCCAAGGATGTGTTAAATTGCCTTTCTTGCACACCACTTACGTAGATAACAATATAATTCTCTCGTTTTATTTCTAGACACAAGTCGTGTGCCTTGCCTGCAAAATAGTAGCTAATATATTTTACATTTAGTTTTTATTTCATTGTCATCAAACTTACACCAATGATCTCAAACAATGATCCGTTTTTCGTGTTATTTTACAAAATCTTTACCGCTACACACACCCTCTGTTAGGTTCACCAAAAATAGCTAGGTTTATGTACATTCTTGGTAGCACCGTCTCTTTGTTTTGCCCTCACCACACCACAAGAACCTAACACTTACTTTTCTTTTTGATTGGTATGGTGTCTTCCCCTCGACAAGATACCATAAAAAATAATTTTGGCTTCTTTCTGAAGTTGTTCAGTTTAGAGAACTCGTTGATAAAATCCTCCCGCTTATAATCCTTGCCGTCGGCTAACTTCAGGTCGGTCTCTGTGCCATGAGCCATGAACCAGTATATGATAGAGCCATAATAGCGATACTTCGGCTTCTGCAGTTCTTTCATACACGCCAGCAGTGTCGTGCGAGTTGGGTCTTTTTCAATATGGACTATGTAACCAAGAGAATTCTCAAAAACATTTTTAACTTTTGTTATTTCTTCTTGTGCTCCTTTTCTGTCCTCGGTGACGCAGAAGACGAGGCAGTGACCGGCGGGTCGACAATTCATGGGGTACTCACTCAGAGTACTGACCACACCCTTGATAATGAGCCGATCATTCTTGTCTGTTACTGCTTTGCTCACTCTTTCCAGGAGTTCTTCTAATTTGTCTGTATATATATGGTTGAGTTTGTCGTTTTCCTCTAAAACTCTGATCATGTAGAAAAATAAAGCCTCCTTCAGACCGTCGGTCTTCCTTAGCATCTCCAAGGAAATGTCCAATTTTGTTTGAAAGAATTTGCCGAGATCCATATCATTTTGCACAGTATCCAGCAGCTGATGAACGATAGAGATCGTCAGTTGGTCACATATACGGCAAATGCGCAAACTGTCAGCATTTATGAAGAAATTGGTCTTCTTTTCTTCTTCTGTAAGCAAAAATTTCTTCTGGACTTTTTCAATTTTGTCTTCAAGGCCGTGACAATCAATTTCGAGGTAACGGCAAATCTCAACCAGAATCAGCAGGTGTTCGTCTTGCTTACTCACATCCCCGTTAGCACCTTCAGAGTCCTCTTCCAGCGTTATTATTGAATAATCCACCAGCTCTATAACGTGATCGTGAAGTACCTCCAAGACGGAACGAAAATTGAATTCTTCGTCTGTCAAGACTGAAAGGAAAGCCTTTTGAGCATCGAGAGTTGGACGAGTTTTCTTTTCGGCCATGTTCTCCGTGCTGTTTGGATCTTTGAGCGATAAAGGTATTTCCGCAGATACAGTGGTCTCCGTGCTGTCCAAAATCTTGTCTCCTTTGTCCAAGAGAAATAGGAACTTTGATAGTTTACTGAACTGGATGTTAGTCCACTCTATAGGAAGAGATTTTCTGTTCTTTTCAGCAATGTTGCCGTCATCTGGAAAAACAAAGAAAACGTCAAAAAGCTTTATACAAGTTAATGGAGCATCGAGAAATTACTGTAGAGTGACGAGTTAAGCTCTCACGTGTGATGGAGCCTCTCATCTCTCATTTTCATCATTGTTCACTGCTGCCTGACCTAATTCATGTCTACATAAATAACTCATTACGACTGTAACCAGATATAAACACATTGACCACATCGCTCTCGGGCTGAGTGGCTGTGCTGCGCAGAAGCTCCTGGTTTCACCTTTGCGCAACTTCCTATTTTCTCCAAGATGGCGGTCAGTTGCTGCAGGAGTAGCACTGTGTGTGTTGACTTAGTCAAAGGAGCAATTTACCAGATGAATGCCTCTGTTTTACTGCCGGCGATCGTTCGAGATACGTTCTGCATTGACAACGATGAGCTATGGGAATGCTCTTAATGGATCTTCAAGGATTTACATCAAGTTCTCCACAGTGGCGGCTTACGAAAGGACGGTGACTCAGTATCAGGAGCGGTCTATCACCATATCATCTGGCCTGGAGGTGCGCCTGCGGGATGTCTCCAAATACTACACCTGGGTGAGAATTCGAAACATTCCCTTTGAAGCGGATGATGTGGATATATGTGACACATTTCGACACTATGGTGAGGTACATGTTGTGACATTGGGACGATGGATGGATGGAATCTACGCGGAACTTCCTGCAGGTTCTTACACCACCAAGATAACATTGAGAAGCCCTATTCCCTTGTATGTAGTCCTGGAGGATTTTAGGACACAGGTGTTTGTGACCTATGCGGGACAACGTAAGACGTGTCGTTTGTGTGGTGCTTTTGACCGCATGGCAGCCGGGTGTGGTAAGGCAGCAGCTCCACGGTCATCAGAAATGCCAGTGGCCCCGGAGTCTTTGGTGGCTTCTTCGTCTGCTCTCATGGTTGTGGAAGGCAATGGAAAATAGGCAGACAATGTGGATGGTGTGGAGGAACGTTGTGTGATGCTACAAGAAGTTTTGGACGCTCCCACACAGGAAGGACCTGGAGTTGGGCAGGAGCCTGTGGGGGTGGGGGAGGCCGGTGAACTGCAGGATTTATCTGAACCCCTGCAGGAGATGATTAAGTCTTTCCTGGAAGTGCCAGTGGAGGAGATCCCCTCTGTAGGTGGGGGAATTCTGATGTTTAAGGAGGACCTGAATGGTCAGGTCCCAGGGCCTCTGGGGTCAGGGTGTGGCATGATGTAGTTGCAGCAGGTGGAGGCTGAGGTGCACAGGGAGAGTGAAAATGCTGGGATGTAGATTGAGGGTGCATCTAGGAAGAGAGCTGGAGGCTCGTCGGATGACGAGGTCACTACTCCAGCTCAGCGTTCTGGTAAGAAGACATGGGCAGGAGTGACTAAGAAAGAGCAGGGTAGTGCACAGGGGGGGAGGGGGTCTAGGGGGGCAAGAGTGCATGGGAGAAGGAAGGACCAATGAAAAGTGTAATAGACAAGTCACAGAGACATAGAGGAAAGCCCCCTTTTCTGCATATTTAAGTGTCTAACTGTAAATGTGGTTGGAAGATGTCTTGCGGCGTTTTGACACTGACGTGTGTTTTATTCAAGAACACAATTTTAAGTGTGGCAGAAAGTTGAGGCTGAAAGGTTTTAGGATGTATGCTGGCAGTTCAGGGAAATTAAAGGGTGGGGTGGCAGTGGCGGTGGGGGATTCCAGCCCTTTTCAAATGCTTGTGTGAGAAGAGTGGGGGAGGGGAGGTTGGTGACTGTGGAGGGACAATGGGGGGAGGTTAGGGTGTGTTTTCTGAGGACATATATGCCGGCAGATAGTACCAGATGGGTAAAGGTGGATTTTGCATAGGAGGTTTTGCTTTTTCACTTGCGGGGTTTACCCATGGTTTCTATAGTAGGCAGTGACTGGAATTGTATAATCAGAAATAAGGATGTGGAGCCGCAAGGGGCAGGGTGCGTGCATAGGGTGTTGAGGGATTTGTTGAGGGAGGTGGGGGTTTATGACATAGTCAGGGGAGATGGGTGGAGAGTGGAGCACACGTTTGTGCAGAGGGATTATGCTGCCAGATTGGATCGCATTTATATAACTTGTGGGATTACAGTGGAACGTGTGCTGACAGTAGACTTTGGTTTTTAGGACCATCGTGCCGTTTTGGCAGAGGTGGCATGGGATGGTATGGTTCTCCGGCATGTGGGTTATTGGAAAATGAATGTGAGGTTACTTCAGGGAGAGGGGGAGGGGTTGTCATTCAGGGACTGGTGGAGGCAACTCTGGGATGCATGCAACCAGGAGGAGGATGTATTGGGGTATTGGGAGAAGCATGCTAAACCATGGATTAAGGAGTATTATCAGCATAGAGGATGGGATGACGCACAGTGGAGGTTCGGTTTACAGAAATACCTTGAGGGGCAGCTCAATGATTGTTATGAAGTGGGAGGGTGTGGTAGGCATGGAGAAATAGAGGATCTAAGGGGAAGATTGAAGGATATGCAAAATTCTTGCTTCGATGCGATACGTGTGAAGGGAGGGTTAGAGGAGGTACTATGGGGAGACAAACCATCAGGATGTGTTTTGCCGAGGTTCAGGGAAAGGCAGCAGATGGCCACGATTATGGGATTAGAGGTGTGTAAAGGGGTGGGGGGATATAGGGTGGGGCAGGTACTAAGTACCACTGATGGAATGGTTTAGGGAGAATTTTAAGCAAAAGGAGGGTGGAGGAATGGGGGCGGAGATTATAGGGGAAGGAATCCTGGGAGTTTTAGGGGAGGAGGAGAGAGCGGCGCTAGGGGGTAGGATCTGTAAGCAGGAGGTGGGGGAGGCAGTAATGAGCTTGAGTAGGGGAAAGGCACTGGGGATTGATGGGATCCCTAACGATTTCTACATTGCAAATTGGGATTGTATGAAGGAATGTCTGGTCTCTTTACTTAACTGTATGAAGGAGAGTACTGATACACATACTCTGTAGAAAGTTGACAATACATAACATGAAATAAAAAAAATAAAAAAAAGCGAAAATAAAACTGAACAATTCTCTACTAAGGTAAAACCTGATATCCATTACCATGACCTGAACATCTAATACCAAAACAAAGGTAACATAGTATGTTTAATTCCATAACACCCTGCAAACTGAACTCCCCCCCTCCCCTAGCCAACCCCCCCCCCCTATCGGAGTAATACAATATTAAAGGATGACCGTAAGAGTGCACAATAAAAATTTTATGTTAACCCTAACACATAAATACAATACTAGCGAAAATTATGAAAACTTACATCACTAATGAACATAAAGCATAAATTCTACAGATACACCTGTTCATAATACAAAGGTAAAGGCTATAACTTTCTTGTGGCTTACAATACCACTACATAAAATACACAGTGTCATAAAGTATGATACAGCAATTACAATAAAACCATGGATCACATCACACAAAAGAACTTTAAACCAAACAAGGTCAACTAGCTATTCTTTTATATAAATAACACACAAATAATACAATTAATTATTAAGTACATTATATAAACACATCCTGTAACCTTGTAACATTTTGGTTTCTGACAACGGGATTCGCCGAAACAAAAAATATATGGTTATGAAAGATTTTCCTGTCACATGTAAGCATAACCAAAGTGGGAACATTGGATCTTCTTATTACGTCCCTATCTTTAAGCCTCAAACAAAAATCTCTTGTGAATACCCTAAACAGGACATGTTTTACTCTCCACATAAAAACCCAACAAACATAAACAAACAGCAATCACCTGAGTGAGTGTCTAACCTCACAGGAAGACCATGGCTCACCTCACCTAAACAGCATATTACAATTGTAAAACATAGACAGTCCCACACAGGAGCTAAACTCCTGAAACCGTACATAACACACATAGTAGTACATATACAGAGCCGTACTACATCAAGCATTTAAAAACCATCCTGGCCCCTGACACTTCAGAAAGCCCCCCCTCCCCCGCCATCCCCTGACTCTATATTGTTTATATATTAAACACAAACTCTCTCTCCCTTTCATATTCAAGCCCATACTTGAAGTTTGAAGTCAAAATCACTGTCTCTTGACCACATGCCTCCAGTTCACCCCCCACTATACCCCTTCTCATGTTTAATGACTGCACACCCATATACTCCACTACTACACACTCTTATTCCACATTCCAACCTCCACTGATCCCAAAACAAAACAAAAGTGACAGTCTCAGGGAAAACAACCCATCCCAGCTCTACCCTACACCCAACCCTAACAAAACACCTACCGTCAGATTACGTTAGCCCAAAGGAAAATTACCCACACCCTCCCATATAGTAGCCTATTCCTGCAAACCATATGGTACACACTCACTGCAAGCACCCACACCCTACAATCACCCCCCCACCTCCCACATACCCCCAAGAAACACAAAAAATCTGTCACCACATTCATCACTGCCCACCGAATGTCCTTGAAAACCCCTCCCACATCAAAATGCGAAGCCCTCAAAGTCGAAATGTTACTCCCCTTCCCTGCCACTATACCTAGGACCCTCACTAACCATGTCCTTACAACCCCCAAGTTTTCACAAAAATATACAGCATGGAAAGTCGTCTCCTCCATCTCCTCCTTCCCACAACGCAGACAATTCCCTGCATCTACATAACCCATCCTATATAGCACAGACCTTGAAGCTAGAATCCCCAGCAAGAATCTATATACCATTTCATGAACCTTTGGCTTTAATCTAATCTTTCGAAAGTCTTCCCAAATGCCCCTCCAATCATACATCAGGTGTGCATCTACTCCCTGTATCATCTCACCCAGCCTACCTGTCCTCCCAAGCCTACTTACCCTTACTTTCCTAGCATCCCATATTGTCAACAAATTACTCACCATATCTTCACACACCAATAACTCCTTCCCCTTCCACCATTTCCTCACATCCTCAATGACCACTCCCACCCTTATACCCCTCTCCCCTCCCGCCCTCAGGTACCGCTGCTTCACATACACTGCCTTCAAGCATGTGTCCAAAGGTATGAGACCCAGCCCACCCTGCAGCACACCCGTCATCACCACCACCTTCTGTAGCCACGGCCTCCCATAACCCCACACATACCTCAAAAC